CCATTTCCCGATTAACTCAAGAATTGCTATTGCCGTAGATTCGGCTTAAAAATCGGGAGTATGTGAACCTAGCATTACGATCTGTGGAGTTGTCAGTTATCTGAAATATTTAAGTCGCAACTTGCACCCGTCAAAATCACCACAACCACCACCATGATGCTCGACTACATTCAAACAGTTTCCCTCAAAAACATTGCAACATTATTTGTAACATTAAGTTTGCCTACACAGGTTTTTAGAGTTTAACATGAGCATTTCTTGAATTTCGGTCAGTGTTGTGTCAAAGAACTCTATGTGGGACAACCGCATGTTCATTGCACTTCAACAAAACGTTCCCGTTTCATGAAACCGATTTCCAAAACAAAAAAGTAGGGTGGAAAAAATCGCAGTCTTGGAGAGGCTGGGCGATGTTTGTATCTGTCATTGCGAGACGTCTGTTTACACGGGCAGATCATGTGGAGCATCCACAAAATGTTTCAAGTGCTCACAAAGAGGATGTCACGCACAGTCGAGTAAACTCTTTCCGGCTGTTCGGTGGAAAAAAAACCGGTTTTTCATTGTACTACTACTAGTAACGGGAAGTATCGAGGCACGTGCGACAATCTCCCTACGCGCCTGCTTGGGTAGAAGTTAAAACCCTCCCAGTCGACTGATAAGTCAACAACGTCCCGTTGTGTCAATGTACACGGACTTACTGGCTAAGACCGTTAGTGAATTCGCAATCTTGAGTCTTGGGAATCTACGAGAGTCCGAGCGATTTTACTCCTAACGCTTCGTGGCAATCGCAACATGGGTTTTACCGTTCGGCAAGCAGGCGCCCGACCTCTTATGAGAGTTGAAGAGGACTTTCCTGCGAAATTAAAACAGCATCGGGGGATGTTTGTTTACCCGTTGGTGGAAATGCCGACGGAGCATGGCGAAGGAACTAGCCGGCAAACGTGGGTGGGAGTGCGGAGTGAGGCGACGCAGTGTGGTCATTGCACGAATGGCATTCAACCGTTGAAGGTATACAGGAGCTATAATCACTTGGGATTCATTGTACGCACAGAACAGCAGAGCTGCTTATATTTTTGGACAACCTCGTTCCCATGGGTACGAGATCTTGCTGCGCCATGTTGTTTCCCATCATGCCTTGCGCGATCTCAACCCCTGGAATTGTGTAATTTAAATGTGTCAAAATATGGCACATTATAATTAGGCTGCAGTTTATCCGTTCTACGCGCCGACGCCATCTTTAAAATGTTGTAAGTTGTGTTTTTGAAGAATCAATGCTTTCAAACATAAGTTTTGGACGTTGCGTTATTTAGCAAAGATTTGTATTAAAGGTACGTACCCATTTCGTCCCTCTACAACCGCAGATACGAGGCTGCCATAATCCATATCGTACAGGCATCGCGCAGTTTTGATTATTCGTACGTGACGTGACGTGCAAAGCACGCGAACGCATTATGGGCGCGCCCTGCGTGCAATCTTCGAAATGCCCGCACAATACGCTCTGATAGCCAGTCAGCATCGTTTACGTGTACATCACGGCCAGGGGTTAGTGAAGGAACGCACACGCGCCCATGGAGTCGAGGCTGATTTTTGGACCTGCTAAGAGGACCAGTGCGCATGTACAAAATGCGCACAAAAAACACGCTGAGTTCTCAATCATCAATTTGATTTTTCTTTTTGGAAAAAAAACCTCATTTACTGGACATCATGCCGTGCAAATTGTACTCTCCTTTGGGTCAAACATCCAAATTTAAACACTCTCCACAGATTCTCTCTTCATACGAGCTGTTGGCCGGCCGAGAAGAGAAACTGGACATTGTGAATGAAGAGAAATTAAGCAAGAAAATATAGCACATTTCGTCATTCGGAAGGTCAAAAACCTCGCTACAATTTGAAATAGTTCATTTTCCTATTTCTAAACTTGACTTTGCGGACGGTCCCAGCAGTAGAGCATAATCGATCACGCTTTCGTACTGTTGGTATCTGACGACAGTAAAAAGACATCATGGGGATTCTAACCCAGGCCCCGAGATTTGTGGACAAGAAACCTACCATTCGGCTGTTTGGCTACCTAAAAGTTCTCCTGCAAAACCATGTTTTTTTTTGAAAAAAAAAGATACGAACACGTGAAGCCGGCCGGAGTTTAGAAGAACTGGAAACTCGGTGCACTGAGCCCACGTAATTTGATATGTCTGAAAATTACATACCGCAATAAGAATCTCTTCTTTGCCGTGTGCTAATCAAACTTACCATAACCCAACACTCAACACCACAGCTCCTCACCTCCGTCTTCTACTAGTTGAACTCACTGAGCAGGCGCGGTTCTATGAGGGGGGGGGGGGGCTGCCCCCCCCCCAAATAAATTCCGTAAAAAAAAATGGTCTCCCCTAAAGATGAAATAGCCGTGACAAGGGTGCATTAGTTAATATAGTGTGAATGATTTTAGGATTTTATTGGCGCTCCCCATTGAAAAATGGCATGAGCCCCCCCCCCCTTCCCCCACTTATTGATTTTCGGAGACCTAGGCCCTAAGTGTCTGGAAAAAATAACCGGTCTACATTTCAGCACGCCTCCCTGAAAACATTCTGGATCCACCGTGCTAGCCCCCCCCCCCCCAATATTGGTTCTAGAACCGCGCCTGTCACTGAGCGGCTTTAAAACGAGAAATATCATGAGTTGTTTCCTGTAACGCATATTCTACATTCTACTCCGATATTTAACTCATCATTGTAACTATTTGAACGAGTGGAAATAATCGCTTACCGTATATCTTCTTGCCATTATACAGCAGTAAGGAATAAAGATATTGAGAACGCAGGGTTAACAGCCAAAATATGAAGTTCAGAAATCTTCAATGAATTACGTATCAGTGTTTTAGAAAATAGATTGATTTAACAACTCATGTCGCTGACATTTACTATTTCATGTCACTGATATGGCAAGTTTCACCACGCACTTTGAATTTACTTCTCTGGCGTCTTGTTTTGATCATGTTGTCAATTTGCACAAATATCAGTTCGTGTACGGTGAAGTTGGGTCTTGCAAGTGTTGACGTCTGCATACTCCGCGAAGAATATTAACTGGACGCAGTTCATCACTAGAATACAACCACAAAAATCAATGTCAGGCGTAATGACAAGTATTAGTATTTGGTACGTCTGGGGATCAGACTTGCTCCTAGTTAAAACTGCTGCAAGGCTGTTACATACAGCCCTTTGCATGGTTAGGTTGAAGGAGAGGTCGCATTGTAAATGACAAGCACAGGTCGTCATGGGGATTCTTACATAACAATATATAGCAACCTGCATAGTAACTGAGCAAAACGTCTCTGTTTTGTAATTGCATTCTTCTTTTTGTTTCAATATGTCGTTTGATTACCCTGGACAATGACGTCATTAGCCAGCTCGTTATCACTGACACTCGTAGTGAGAAGGAAATTGAAAATGACTCGCAAACAAAAAGACATCCCCATAAGTGGCGTCGTAATTAGGGTTGTTATAGGGTATAATTAGCGAACAAGAGTATAATTAAGGTCAATGTGGTTCAGAAATTAGAGGGGAAAATAGGAATACGATATATTTCATATACCTAATAAACGCCGAGAGAGAACGCCAGCTAGCTATATGCACCAGATGTTGGAACAATGCAGGATGATAGCCACTGGAGGTATATAAGTGGTGGATTCCATTAATTATAAATGAATAGAAAGATCGAATAAAGCTGTAGGATGTACATCGTACGTATAGTGTGTTTTAAAAATAGATACTATTTTCGCATTTTATGGAATAGAATACGATGGTATTGTTCCGTGCGTTTTTTTTGTTCCTTCATATTCGGTCTTAATCATTATGCCCAGCCATTGTAGGTTACTGCAGATATAATTAATGTACACAGGTTTGTGAGAGCAGTGGTATCAGACGCAGCAATCTGCTTGTTTTCATGCAATCAAAAAAAAAATGGAAGTACAGTTTGCATTTTAAGTGGAAACATGAAGAAAAAAAAACAGTGTCAGCCCCGAACATTTAGCAGTCCAGAGTTTTCTGAATTTAGGAGCAAGAATTTCCATCGGTATACACTCTATGATTTTGCACGCTTACTAAGAGATTGTGGATCCCTAAGATAAAAACGCGAAATTCTGACGTAACGCGAGCAGTCTCAGTCGGAAAGACGAATATGCTAAATCGGTGAGCAAATTACTCAGCTCAGCCTTCGAATAATTTTTGCGGGCGATGCAAATTTTGTCAGGGATGTTTGTTCAACACCTGCAAACCGTACGGTTCAATTATAATATTTAATGACATTCAGAAATAACCGAACAGGTGGACTGGAGACGATTTCAAAGAAGGGAATGTTTGGTTACGTTTTTACTACAGTTCTTGTTCATTGTTGATATGCAATAATTCACGTAGATATGTCCATAGGGCCTACGTACTTGTTTGAGCTTGGGACTTTGTTTTAATGTATCATGTATCAATCAGTGATATATTGTAAAAACGTGCCTGGATTAGCTGTACACATATAGGCCTACTCGTTGCCGTTTTTTCGCAAAAAGGGTACTAGACAACAATATATTAGAGCAATTGCACCATTTAAAATGATGTAAATGTGGCTAAAATCTGTATGCTTTGTCAGATGCAAACTTATCTTCCAATCAAGGATTTGTAAATTAGTGCAGTATGCTTGTTGTCCCGATCCACGAGTGACTGGATTAAATAACATTACATCAAGTGAACAAGCGTCGATTTGCTGATAGCGCTATTGCACCACTAGCCCGGCCTATATGGTTTATTGGTGCTAAACAACCAATCGGAAAGCAGCACATTATAGTGACGTCTTGTCTTTCATTCCTCGCTCCTTCTGTTTCGCTTTTCCCTTTAGTTTTCAATGATCGTGGCTTTCGCATATGCGCATCTGTTGTGCGGCAGGTGATATGGTCACATGGTGTGATGTTGTTCAGTATGGTGATGTACATGTACGTGGCTGTGTAAAAAAAAACCAGCTTCCCGCACCGGTACCGTAGGACGGGTTGGCAGCATGTACGACGTTCGTTGATGCGTTCATTAAGCCGTATGGTGGTGAGGGCTGCAGATCGTACACCAAACCCGCGTGCTCGCTTTGTGCGCGAATGATCGCAAGAGCAGTGTCGTCTTGAAACGGTACGTTTTACATTGTCAAAGTGCTTCTGCTTTCGTCGTGCGGTGCGCAGTGTGCTTTGAATCGCGCGCGAGCTTCATCGTACTGAAGTCATACCGTTTCACCGCAAGGAGAGTACTTGGACAACCTTGCTTTATGATCGGGAAAAAATACAAAGAGGACTGATAGAACTTCCACCAGTAAGTGACTTTTCTTCGTGGGCCACATTTATTTTGAATTCAATTCGGCTTCTCAGTTTGTCTCAAACATTCTCCAAACAGTTAAACACAGAGTTCTGTACGCTTGGATGTTGCCAACCAGTCGTATCGTTGTTGTGGATCATCGGAAGAGTTCCTCAACTTGAGGAAATTCAAACAAGTCTGCACTCGGACTTTAACTAACAAATATGCCTCGTTAGTGACGTTCTCTGTCAGCTAGAAACATCGAGGGCCTGATTGCAAATAGCAACGACTGCTGAAACGGCGAAAAATATCCGGTATGTACGAAAACGTAGAAGTAACCATTACAATTAGTCGCCGCTGCGTGCGGCGAGTAGGCGGTAACAAAGTTAAGTAGTGTAACCGAAAAAATATACCATTATGGAGACATTCCCATAGACTTGTGCACACAATTTTTCAGACTTTAATGTCACCTAACCCCAATTTTAACTTATCCTACCCCCACGAATTTTAATATTTTTTTTTACTAATTGGACCACGAGCAATCGATCTAGCCTAAACAATTTGCATCTAAATAGGAGCTGAGGCATTAGGGAGACATCGAGATGTCTCCCTAATGCCACATGTCTCCCAAAGGTATACTTCTGACGCAAAAGTATCTCCCAAATGGTACAATTACGATAGTTATAGGACAAGACAAATCATTCTGAACATGTTGTTTGGTGTTTGCCCTTAAACATTGACATTGACAACCTTCCCAAGAAATGCGCTGCTTGTTGTATTGCGTTTATATATAATCTCTACGAGTTAATGTTAGACACAATTGGTTTCGTATGAAGTAAGGACTATATAACGTACTAAGCAATTGGCATAAAATAGGTTTTCTCGGCCAATTTCCTGAAATGTTCAATCAATCACTTCTGAAAATCGGTCATTCATTTTCGTCTGAATATGAATGTACGTCGATCTTTAATCCCATCTCAATTCAACGAAAGTTCAATCGTTTTCATTGTCCGTGCATTCGGTTTTGAGGAACATTACGTTACCTGTGCATTCGTTTACACAAGCATGCCTTTTCGCGCAGAGTTCTGGAATACAATTTCGTAAAATGTGCAATCAAGAGTTCGTTTTTCTCATTCAAAATAGCAGATTATACCACAGAGCATAACACTAAAAGTGAAATAGAATGTTCAATGTTTAAAATCGCCCTCTAAATGCGGAAAAAGGTTTATAAATGAACCTGAGTTAACCGAAAGGAAAGGTGCTGCCCAGTCACTTAATTGATTGAACTAAAAAGGAATCGAATGGTCTGGTAGCGAAAATGAAACGCGTGTTCGGAGAGATTCTCAAATTCAGACGAAAATGAATTACCGATTTTCAGAAGTGAATGAACATTTTAGGAAATTGGCCGGGAAAACCTTTACTAAAAATAAAAACAGTTATTCAACTCTTCGTCTTGCCATGTCTGAAATTGTAATTTACAATTTCAGACATTGTAAGACGACTAATTGTACTGATTGCATGTGCAAGTCGGGTGTTGTTGTTTTATCCAGCATGACGATGGAAATCACCAAATGATATCGTTGAATGTGGCTTTTATAGTTCAAAGAAAATCGGTTCCCTGGTACATTGTGGTTCAGGAGGGGTAATTTGAAAAGTATCCTAGTTTTACTCTACAACCGAGGATTATGTTCTCCTTGTCCTGTACCTGTTTTGCGTTACATGTCGTTTATAAACGAAAACTAGCCGAGACTTAAGATCACGCCCTCTGCGTTATTGTTTAGTCAGGTAAGCATGCAATAATGTTCCAAGTTCTAAGTCGGAACGGTTTTAACCTGCAAAGCTTTTAATACTTTGTGAAGTTTGGTATTAGAATTTCACTGTAGGACTATTACGACAAGAAAAGCGCAAAATGTGTATTACTCGGGCGCGTTCGCTGACCTGAGACTGGGATGTCTTCAACCTCCGAAATGGAGCTTGATGTGTGGTGCAGCCACGGCCACTGATCTCCATGTAAAAAAAAATCAGCATTGGCCGTTGGTTGTGAAGTCACCGTGCATTTATTACCACTCCAAGAATAACAGATTTGTAAAGAAATAGCCTATATCTCATTTGATTGACATGTACATTTTTTTTACCAAATTTATTATTTTTTGTAAATATAAAGATAAAACAAAATGGCAACTAAATATAGTTTTTGTGAATTTTCTGCTGAGAAGAAAAGTTTCGTATAATTTAAGACGGTTCTATTTTATTTCCTTTAACGATGGGAGTGGTTGAGACTGGTTCCCTCGCCACATTCCATGGGAGTGATTGGGAACCAGTGTGTGGCTTCACTTATTGGTACAGCTCCGAATGGCAAACGAGCTATATTCAGATATTTTACATGGAGATCAGTGGGTGTAGCTGCAAGGCTCAATCATTTTGGGCGGTGTCGCACGAAGCAATTCAAAGGCAAATTGTTCCAGGCAAACTCTAAAAGCTGAACATGACAGGCAAATTTCATTTAGTTGAAATGCTATGAGGTGTTTTCATTAACTGTTGGGGGGGAAATGTACTTCCTTCTTCGTGAGTGTTCCCACATAGTTTGCATTGCATTTGGTTGCCTCCGAGTTGCCTGTGGAAATTGCTATTAGACCCGTGTGCCTTTATGGGTTGTTTTGTCAAACTATCGTAGCCCAACCCAACAAAATGAGGCACAGATCGCCCGAACACTTTTTTGCGTATGTGGCTTTTAATAGAATCTGATACACAATTAATATACCATATATATCTGTAAATTATGTCAAACTGTATTTGACTTGTGCCTTTCCTATAGTGCAAGTGAAAGTTAACAAGAGAACTATTGTTCTGAAGACTCATTTTATAGTGCGTCACAAGTATCAGAAAGACGAGGCTTTGCGGGGTAGGCGGCCTCGCTCAAAGTTTTTATGCTGCAAAAGTTGCAAAGGTCTCTTGAATTGTTCGACAAGATCTAAGTTCAATTGCGATATTTATCCAATTCATTTGACCATGTAAAAAAATGCTTAGTGCGCAGTCTTTTCTCGTGGGTCTGAATCTCAAGTAATGTAATTATTCCCTCTTCAAGTGATAATACGTTCCGTCCTGGGAACGTTTTCTCCATCAATTATTGTAATACGAGTACAATCTCACCATTTCTAAGTCAACAAGATCCGATTAAATTCGATTAAAGAACCGACCGTTGTTCAAACATTTTGAAATCGATTTTACTTTCGAATCGCCTCAATTTATTTTACCCGACTTGATTTTTTAGGCCATTCTTTATTGTGCAAACTTTGAAGCCAATAAAATTCGAGCGTTGTAGGGAGTATTTTTCTCTGTAAATAGCAGTCTTTATAGCTAAGTCAGTGTAAGTGGCGTTTTTATCCTGGAAGTTCAAAGTGGGCAAAAAGAGCGAGTTAGCAATCTGACGGGAAGAAAGTTTGGGAGAGGCCATTGCACTACGTCTATGCATCCCAACAGGATCAGATTACAACTTGACGTCTTGTCCGTGCTCTATTGCATCACGGAGTGGACTCTAGAACGGTGAGGGTCTCCTCATTGGTAATATTAAACTAGCAATTTGTACGGCAGATGTTGGCGTCGGCGTCAACTCATTGGCGTCTGCGGAGTATTAAATTGGGATGCTGAGTTATTTCTGAGATAGCAGGCCCGGTGTAGAGCAAACTCTATGCTACAACCCAATATGACCGACACTTTCAGACGTGCTCCGTGATTATTTTGACCAATCACAGCCTTGTCTGCTCAGCAAAGTGTCCTAGAATGAAAGGGGAAATCTTTGAAAAGAACAAGAGAGACGCACGGTTTATGCCCCAGCGCTTTATGTTGTCAGACGGCGTATGGCTGAATCCAGGGTGGTCAAGTACCCGCATTTTTTAAGGAAAAAAACCACACACACAAACCAAAACCCATGGTAGACTACTTCGGAGATAATCAGACACAAGTTTGACAATTTAACTATAATCTGCCTTTTTTCGTCAAACATCACCAGCGATAAATTAGTGGTTTCTTTGTTTTCACCTTTTAATTTTTTTTGCTTCTACACTATTGTTCATTTCCTTGTAAAGAATCTAAGATGTTGTTTTAACCAGGGAAAACTAAAACTTGTTAATAATACAGTTTGTCTATTAACGTAGGCCTATTATTATACTGTGTTTCGATATACCCAACTTGCTCACTGTTTGAGGGAAATATGGGCTCCCATTTTAATCCCCTGCAAAATACACACACCCATGAATAACGAACAAATATTTTTTTTTATGTCGTAATTTACAAAAAAAAAGGTAAAACCATATGTTCAATCTAAATTTAGTCATCCATAGCATTCATTATAATAAGCATATTTGTGGGTTTTTAACATGTAAACTAATGCTTCTGGTAATTTGCTTGGGAAGGTTCATTGTGTGCAAACATAATCATAAGTGGATTTTTTTAAGATGTCGGTCTTTTTATACATCATGTGTCGTCAGTTTTATCTTTCTTTACACGCATGTGCATTTTGTGTGTGTTTTAGTCGTGAATTAAAATGCTTCTGGTAATTGCTTTGGGAGGGTCTTTATTTTTTTGGCTTGATGACTTTTAAAATTTGTGAATGTGTGTTTTTAATGTTTTATGTATGCGGGGACCCATGGGAGACCAGTGGATCCGGCCACTGAATGTGCCTCCCAGTTAAAAAAATTAATAAATAAATAAATTTAGGCCTGAGACGTATGGCGCTATACCGTCGTAAAACCGTATATGCATAATCAATGAACCGATTTGTCCATCTTTTCTCAGTTGTAATTTGGTTGCTTTCATATACAGTAGACCACAGAAAAGATGGGTAAAACCTGTTGGGCAATGTTATTTGCCCAACATTAGTATAAAATTACCTCAATTGGTATTAACTCGGATGAACATAATATTGAACTTTAGGGGGGGGGGGAAATGCTCAAGAGAGTAGGCAGTTGGTATTTTGACTAACATTGGGCAGAATACCAATCCATTTATCCAACTAATCGTGCACAGGCTGGTTCATAATTCACACGAATGTGAATGCAAAGTTGAACTGACATCACCATATCATTTATATATAAAAGTTGTTTAATGCTATAGAATTTTTTTTTTAATTTAATTGTCCTCGTGAAATTTGTCTGGGTACAATATTCCTCTCAAGCACTGCTGTAGAGTTGTTGCAGGATGGTCATGGCGGCATCTACAAAGCCGAGCGTTCGTCTGTGTTACCACACACACAAAAACGGTTACAGCCCGATAGTCCGAAGGGTCGATAGTCCGAGGGTTCTTTAGTCCGAAGGGT